AAATTCTTAAGGTTCCTCTTGGCCCGAGATTCCGAGCAGTGTGGGTGATACAAGTTAAGGCAGAAAGTACACCTTCTTATTTCATCATTTAGACTGGCAGGACTGATCATCGCTGGGATCTCACACATTCTGGCAATGTTTCCAAAACAGACAAAATCACAGACTGGGGGCTCTAAGGAGATTCAACACTATGAGCGAATACACTAAGTACCCAATGGCAAAATCTGGATTAAAAAAAACAACAAATTTGAGAATAATTCCAAATGACCTATTTTTGCCTCCATTTTGCCAGTCAGTCTCCAGGTCACTACAATTCACTGTTTGGTTTATAAACCAGATGTGAGTCTACCTTGGCGTTTACATCTAATGGCCATTGGCGTGGAACTAAATACCCTCCATTTATTTAAATATGTGTAGGAGTTTGGGAAGTGCGCAGGTAACTCTTGTTTTGTTTTTATTATATGTATTGGGGCTGACGTGTGCTACTTCCCCCTCTAACTATCGTCCCATATCCCGGCTCCCTTTTTCCTCAAGGCTTCTGGAGAGTCTTTACTCGTCTGACTTGTTTCCTCAATTCCAACTCTCTCCTTGACCCTCTTCAGTCTGGATTCGGCCCCCTTCACTCTACCGAGAATGCCCTCATTAAAGTCACTACCGTATATACTCGAGTATAAGCCGAGTTTTTCAGCACATTTTTTGTGCTGAAAAACCCCATCTCGGCTTATACTCGAGTCACTGTCTGTATTATGGCAATTTACATTGCCATAATACAGACTGGGGGCTGGCAGAGCTGTTACTTACCTCTCCTGCAGCTCCTGTCAGCTCTCTCCTCCTCCGCGCTGGTCCGTGCAGCACCTCGGTCAGCTCCCAGTGTAAGTCTCGCGAGAGCCGCGGGGTCATAGTGCGGCTCTCGCGAGACTTACAGTGTGAGCTGAGAGAAGAGCTGCACGGACCGGCGCGGAGGAGGAGAGAGCTGACAGGAGCTGCAGGAGAGGTAAGTAACAGCTCTGCCAGCCCCCCTCCTCCCCCCACTGAACTGCCAATGGACCACCAGGGAAGGAGAGCCCCCCTCCCTGCCATGTATCAAGCAGGGAGGGGGGACAACAAAATAAATAAATGAATAATAATAATAAATAAATAATAATAAAATAATAATAAAAAAAAATAATAATATAACAAAAAAAATTAAAATAATAATTTTTTTTTATAAAAATGCCCACCCCCCCACCAAGGCTCTGCAACACAAACACACACTGCATTACACACACACACACACTGCACTCATACACACACACTGCATTCATACACACACACTGCATTCATACACACACTGCATTCATACACACACTGCACTCATACTCACACACTGCACACTCATACTCTCACACACGCACTCATACACACACTGCGCACTCATACACACACTGCACTCATACACACACTGCACTCATACACACACACTGCATTCATCATATACACACACTGTAAATAAATATTCAATTAATATAATTTTTTTAGGATCTAATTTTATTTAGAAATTTACCAGTAGCTGCTGCATTTCCCACCCTAGTCTTATACTCGAGTCAATATATTTTCCCAGTTTTTTGGGGTAAAATTAGGGGCCTCGGCTTATATTCGGGTCGGCTTATACTCGAGTATATACGGTAATGACATAATCGCAGCTACATCCAAAGGCCACTACTCCATACTAATGCTTCTTGACCTCTCTGCTGCCTTTGACACCATTGATCATGGCCTCCTTCTCCTAACTCTTCAATCGCTTGGTATCTGTGACACTCCGTGATGTATTTAGTATCTGTGCTGCCCTAGGCATGACGGAACTCGGGCACCCCCTAATTTACATTTGCCCCACCCTTTCCTGTCAATGCCACACCTCTTCACGTTAAATGACTAACACACACACTTTGACTGACAGACACACTCTCAGATACACTGACATACACAAACTGGTTTGACACAATCTGACAGACACACACAATCACTGACTCACTCACAGACACACACTGACAGACACACACAATCACTGACACACACACACACAAACATACTCACAGACACACACACTGATAGGCATACACAGTCACTCACACACACACACACACACACACACACACACACAATCACTGACATACACACACAAACATACTCACAGACACACACAATCACTGACACAATGCCCCACCCATATGAACTAATGTCAGTGCAGCACACAGTGTGTGTTTACATTAAAAGGCCTGCAGGGACAAACTATATAAACCAGAACAACTTCATTAAGCTGCAGTGGTTCTGGGGACTATAGTGTTTCTTTAATGTGAGGTAAATTAGAGATTAGTGCCACAAATAATATACTAGATTGCCTACTTATAACCAGATGAGGATGATGATGGGCTCTAGCTGCAGTTTGGCTCCACTGGTCTGGTGTAGAACAGGCCCTCTGGAGGCTGTTTGTAACTGTGGTCACAAAATTCAATGTTCTGGGAGAACGGGAAGCAGCTCCATTTTTTGGGGGCCCCTTACACAGCTCAAGGTCTGGGCCCCAGGGCCTGACAGTGAGTATGCCCACAAGGCCCACTCATAAGTCTACTTATATGTTCCACCCACCCATGAGTTCGCTCACAGTGAGTGGAGTGTGTAGGGTATGTGTTATGTGTTACTGTAGAGCAGTGGCGTACTAAGGTGGGGGCGGTCCGCCCCGGGTGCCATCAGGCAGGGGGGTGCCACCAGGGCTGGCCAGGCTTGGGAGTCAGTGAGCTGTTTGGCTGCACCGGGCGCCATAGCAGCAGGGGCGCCGGGCAGCCGACACAGCTCACGCGCACGGGCTGGGAGTAAGCAGGAGACCTGGCTCAGCTGGCTGCACGGAGAGTTGGGGGCGGAGCTAGAACGGCCGAGGGGGGGAGCCACGCTGGATGCGGGGGCAGAGCTAAATGCAGCCTCTCTCTGATCACACAGAGGGGAAGCAGGAAGGAAGCACAGGAGCCAGAGGGACTGAATCCATTCCTCCTCCAGCCCAAGCTTACTGTAAGTGAAAGAGAGAGAGATTGTGTGTGCTGTGTGTAACTGTGATTGTGACTGTCTTTGACTGTGTGTGTGAGTGTGTGACTATCTATGACTGTGTGAGTGACTGTCTGCCTGTGATTGTCTGTGTGACTGTGTGTGTGACTGTCTGTGACTGTGTGTGTGTGTGACTGTCTGCCTGTGATTGCGTGCATGTGTGAGTGACTGTCTGTGTGACTGTGTGTGTGTGACTGTCTGTGTGTGTGTGTGTGACTGTCTGTCTGTGACCGCGTGTGTGCGTGTGACTGTCTGTAAGTGTGTTTGTGACTGTCTGTGACTGTGTGTGTGTGTGTGACTGTCTGTGTGTGTATGTGTGACTGTCTGCCTGTAATTGTGTGTGTGTAACTGTCTGCCTGTGATTGTGTGTATTTGTGACTGTGTGACTGCCTGATTATGATTGTGTTTGTGTATATCTGTGATTATGTGAGTGATTGTGTGTATCTCTGTGTATGTATTTAGTAGATAACTCCCTTATTTGGTGACTGTCTGTGCGACTGTCTGCCTGTGTGTGTGTGTGTGTGTGTGTGTGTGAGAGAGACCGTTTGCCTGTGATGGTGTGTATGTGTGTGACTGTCTCCCTGTTATTGTGTGTGACTGTCTGTGACTGTGTGTGTATGTGTGACTGTCTGCCTGTGATTGTGTGTGTGTGTGACTGTCTGCCTGGGATTGTGTGTGTGTGACTGTATGTGTGACTGTTTGCCTGTGTGACTATCTGCCTGTGATTGCATGTGTGTGTGTGTGACTGTCTGTGACTGTGTGTGTGTATGTGTGACTGTCTGCCTGTGACTGTGTGTGGGACTGTGTGCATCTGACTGTATCTGACGGTCTTCGCCCTGCAGTGAGAGGGCAGCCAGGATATGGTAATCGCGGCCTCTGCATCATTACAGGGCGTGCGAGGGACCTGTGCAGGAATAGCACAGAGATCCCAGCAGCAACCACTGACCACCAGGGACTGAGGATCCACTCCAGCCCTTCTATAGCAAGGTAGGGAGGCTGGGTGGACCTCTTATTTATTAAATGTGTGTATGTATGTAATGTTTGTGTGTGTCTGTGATTGTGTGTCTGTGATTGTATGTGTGTGGGTCTGTGATTGTGTTTGTGTATATCTGTGATTATGTGTGTGATTGTGTGTATCTCTGTGTATGTGTTTAGTAGATAGCTCCCTTATTTGGTGTCCTTAAATATTGCAATCTAATATAAGGATAACAAATAAGGGATTTATATACTAAACAACTGAAAATAAGAAAAGGGCTTTTTTAATTTTGATCATATAGCTGTTTAGTAGATAATCCCCTGAATTGGTGCCCGTATGCGAGATTTCCATATTTAAAGATACCAAATGAGGGTGCTGTTTAGCAGATAGTTACCTTATTTGGTGTCCTTAAATATTGCAAGCCCACATCAGGATAGCAAATAGGGGAGTTATCTGCTAAACAAAGATCGAAGTTAAGAGGTGTCAGCCAGCCCACAACAACAAATCTGGGTGGCTAATGTGAATTTTATCACATGACAGGAGGCTTCGTATTTTGCATAATCTTTCTTTACTATCTCCATAGCAGCAAAGAAAAGAGTGACAAAACTTTTAACCAATCACAACGTAGAATAGGGTATAAGAGGTGTGACCTATGACATCATTTCCTCTTTCTTTGCTGCTCCATCACAAGTTAAGTACTAAATTTTGTGTTATCTATTCAACATACACTTACTCATTACATGCCTTTGTTCTCTCACTGTACCTTATATATTTACCCTATTATTACTCTTACCCTATCTGTATACCATGGGACCTTGCCTGGCTCCCTAGGTGTCTTTCACGGCTTCCCCGCCGTCGGTACTTTCCCTCCATATCTCTGTTTCTATTAACGGCTTTTTTCTGTGCGCTCGCGCACAACCCTTTCGGTTGTTTCTACCGAACGCTTTATTCGGTAGTTTTTTGCGCATTCGCCTGTTTGACACGAATGCCCGCGGTCGTTTCTGTGCGACCGCACATTGACTATTCGTTTCTTTCAACCGAACGCTTCGTTCGGCAGTTTGACGCGATCGCCTTTTTAGGCGTTCGCATCTATTTTCTATTCGCACGTTCGGCAGTTCGCATAGATTTTCTATTCGCACGTTCGGCAGTTTTATTATGCGAACGGCAAGCTTACAGTTTGCCGCCCAAACTGGGGGAGGTACTATCCTCCACACACTGAGCCTGTCAGTCCGGCGGCCATCTTAAAGAGATAGACACTGCCTGATTTTTTCTGCTTCAGCTAATCCGGCAAGCAATTGGAAAGCCTTGACCCTTTTCACTCAGTGGGACCAGGTTAGTGCCTTACACTTGGGATTGGTTTAGCCAGTTGGTCTGTTCCTTATTCTGGCCGGGGTGAGCCCCCATTTTACGCTGCTGAAAGGACCTGTTCATGCAGGTTTCCGATCACCTGGGTGAGCCCCAGTGAAACAGCCCTCTCCTATTCCTACGACCTACCGGTCTCTAACCACAGGTTATTTAGTCCTGATACTATACCACCCCGGTCCCCAGGCCTCTCCACTAATCGTGCCTAGTGCCCTCACGCAATTTACCGGGTGAGCCCCGAATCCTCATTCCTTATAATGGAGGAATCACAAACCTCAGACCTCCAGGCCATGATAACAGCAGCCGTGGCTGCAGCTATGGAACAAGCCACTTCCAAGTCGCTCCAAACAGACTCTGAAGTCCCCAGGCCCATCTCTAAACGGGTTCATTATAAAGCAGACTCCGAAGACTCCGACTCTTCCAGGGAACACTCCCAACGGCGAAAACGCCATTGGAAGGGCAATGTAACCCCACGCAAGTCTAAAGGGAAAGCCCCTGCTGATCGCAGAAAAGCCACGGTTCGTGCTACCCACGATGCCACACAACTTTCCTCAGGTGAGGAAGATGTAGAACCCACTCAGGCACTAGCTGTGCTGGATGAATGGCAGGCGGCAGCCTCTGACCAGGGGGACTCTGACAGGGATTCCACGGCCAACTCTGACCCTTACTTCATAAGGGAACAGAGTCTGGGTGAGCCCCAGGACTCCATGGCAACATCCATGGATAACCCACAGGAGGGCACGGAGATTTTCCTCGACAATTCGGGCCTCCAAATGTTTGACCCAAGGAACATCCGGCACCCCCGTTCGGAAGAATGGTCACCACCTGAGCATTTGGCTAGGTTTATGCACTTCTGGCTCAGAAAATCGCTGGACAAAGAAGTGAGAAACCGGATGAGATCCGAATGCCCTCGCCCTAGTCTACCAGACAAAGTGACGCACACCCCCGAGTTTGACCCGCTCATGACTACATTCATGTCCTGAGGGGGTCGGGATCCGCGCAAGGGCATAGAGCGCGGCTTTAAAGGAGCGCAAGACAAACTGCTAGATGCCATTGGGCCACTAGCCAGAATCATGGATATGGCGGATGAAGCCTGTGAGAGGGCTGACACTTTTACCCCAGATACGGTGCGTGAAGGCTGGGGGGCAACAGACGGAACCACGTCCACAGGAGGAGTCTGGACTTCCGAAGAGCTCTCGATGCACATAAATTGCCTGGAACTCTTAGCCGGGTCCTTCGCCATTCGCAGCCTGGCAAAGGACCGATCCAACTGCTGCATCCTACTCCGCATGGACAACATCTCAGCAGTCAGATACATCAACCGCCTTGGGGGCACTCGTTCTCGAACACTGGCGGATCTCACGAAAGAGCTCTTCGACTACTGCCTACCACGCAACATCACCTTGCTGGCAGAGCACTTACCAGGAGACTCCAATACGACGGCGGATTGGTACTCACGCCACTGGCGGGACGCCAGCGATTGGCAGCTAGACCCTCATATTTTCGCCCTACTGGATGCACAGAGGGGACCTCTCTACATAGACCTTTTCGCGTCCCGCAACAATCGACAGACAGAGGTTTTCTTCAGCTGGCTCCCAGACCCGGAGAGCCTCGCAACGCACGCTTTTCTCCAACAATGGCCCAGGGACGGTGCCTACGCTTTCCCTCCCTTCGCAATGATAACGAGGGTCCTTCACCGGATCCGTCTACAGGGAGTGAGAATAATTCTCATCACGCCGCTCTGGCAGAGCCAGCCATGGTATCCGGACCTTCTGGAACTTTCAATCAACAATCCCCTCCTCCTACCAGATGCCCCAACCATCCTCAGGAACCCATTGGGCCTACCTCACCCACTAGTCCTGCAGGAACGCTTGCCCCTTGGGGCCTGGACTCTTTCCGGGGTTCCTGGAGAACCGAAGAATTATCGCAGGAAACTAAGGACCTGCTATGGGATTCATGGGCACCAGGAACTAGGAGGTGCTACTTATCAGCTTGGCACTCCTGGACAAGTTGGTGTGTGGGACGGGACCTCAATCCCTTTACTGCACCTACTCACTCCATCGTGAATTTCCTGACTTCACTTTTCACTGCCGGAAAATCATACCGTTCCATCAACGTGGTACGGTCAGCCATCTCAGCGGCTCATACTCCGACACAGGGGACTCCTGTTGGTAAGGACCCGCTCATCTGCAGACTTCTCCGCGGCATGCGCCTACGGCGCCCCCCGGAACCTAAATATTCTAGACTTTGGGACGTTGGTGTGGTCCTTCAATTCTTACGAAATTGGCCTCCCAACGAGAAACTATCACTCTGCCAGCTTGCCGCAAAATTCACCCTCCTGCTCTGTCTGGTTTCCTTTCGACGGGTAGCGGACGTACGTGCCTTTGACGCCAACGCGTTTACCTTCTGTCCGGCGGGTGTCACCTTTTAGATCTCACGTCGTACTAAGTCCAACTCTCACTCGGTTTTCTACCCTTTCTTCCCTTCTGACCCTCAACTCTGCGTGGTCTCAACCCTCCGTCAATACGTGGAAGCCACCGCGACGTTGCGGCAGCCTTCCACTCATCAGCTTCTCATCTCTTACGTCCGCCTTTATGGTCCGGTTTCGGTTACTACACTGGCCAGATGGGTTAGATGGCTACTATCCCTTGCCGGTATTGACCAAACTTTTGGAGCACACTCCGTTCGTGGGGCAGCGGCCTCTTCCGCTTATGCGGCAGGCGCGTCCCTTTCGGACATTTTACGAGCGGCGGACTGGACCAGAGACTCTACCTTTAGGACATTCTACTTTCGTCCTCTTGATAATCCGGCATTTGCTTTTCTTTCACAGCGTTGAAATTGCAAAATACGAAGCCTCCTGTCATGTGATAAAATTGAAGATTATGCTAGCGTTAGTGTACAGATAATCTTAATTTTAGTAATGACAGGAGGCGAGTATTTTCCCTCCCTGTTCTCTTTCGTTCTTCCCTCCCGTTTCATTTTCACTTCTACCTACTACACTTGGCTCTCTCATATGTTGGTATAATACCTGACGCGGTAGCTCTTGTTTAAATGCCTTATTTACATTCGCTTAGAGCTATATATATATTGTCTGGGTGGGATACTTATTTAACACCACTAAGGGAGGACGTTTACTTTATTATCATGTTACTAGACGATATTAAAGTTGAATTACGGGACAGACATTCTTTGTTTTATACAATCACTTCTGGACTCTAACACACCTTATACTCTCGTTTCAGCGTAACCAGAAGCTACACGGAATCATTAAAGTCTCCATGCAAGATGTCGTCATCATCGCATCAGGAGATTTATCATCAGGTCTTGGTAGACCATTGTTTGATAAGGAGACGCCTTCGTCTGCATTCTACCTGTTCCGGTTCAATTTATTCTGATTAAGTTTCCAATTTCTTGTTCTATGGACTTCTCAGTTGTTCTGTTATTTTCTACATTTATGAACTTGTGATGTCGCAATTTTAAAGAGGAAATGATGTCATAGGTCACACCTCTTATACCCTATTCTACGTTGTGATTGGTTAAAAGTTTTGTCACTCTTTTCTTTACTGCTATGGAGATAGTAAAGAAAGATTATGCAAAATACTCGCCTCCTGTCATTACTAAAATTAAGATTATCTGTACACTAACGCTAGCATAATCTTCAATTAAATGCAAATGTGTTGTCAGATGCCAGCATGCAGAGCACAGTGTTTCTGCGTGTGTGTATATGTATCTGCATGTGTGTATGTCCGTGTATGTCCGTATATGTGCAGACATCTCAAAATCTCGCCAACACTATACACAAATACACTCATGCATTTCAACGTCAATACTACATACAAACCCCACCATTATATATAACCACATCACTGCATTCAAATACCACACAACACATAAATGCATGCTTGCATTCAAAAACCAACACTACATACAAACATACCACTACTCCATACAAAAACATGCATACATTCACACAAAAAACTCTGCTCAGTGCTAAATACATTAAACATAAACAAATACATTTTGGTTGTTTTTTACATTTAAAGTTGAGGGGTGGGGGTGCCAAAAATAGGACCCGCTCCGGGTGCCAAATGCTCTAGGTACGCCCCTGCTGTAGAGGATTTAATGTGTGTGCTTATGGAATGTAGTGTATAGGGATATCAGTTTGTGTAGGTGATGCAGTGTGTTTGTGTGTAGTGGAAGCAGTGTGTTTTTGTGTAAGGGATAGAAAGCAGTGTGTGTTTGTGTATAAAGGATGTATTGTGTGTTTTTTGTTGTGTGTAAGGGATGCATTGTGTGAATCTGTGTTTGTATGCATAAGGGATGCAAAGTGTGTTTCTGTGTATGTAAGGGATGCAGTGTGTGTGTCTGTAAGGGGTGCATTGAGTGTGTGTAAGAGTTGCATTGTGTTTGCATGTGTGTGTAAGGGATGCATTGTGTGTTTCTGTGTACAGGGAGTGCAGAATTATTAGGCAAGTTGTATTTTTGAGGATTAATTTTATTATTGAACAACAACCATGTTCTCAATGAACCCAAAAAACTCATTAATATCAAAGCTGAATATTTTTGGAAGTAGTTTTAGTTTGTTTTTAGTTATAGCTATGTTAGGGGGATATCTGTGTGTGCAGGTGACTATTACTGTGCATAATTATTAGGCAACTTAACAAAAAACAAATATATACCCATTTCAATATTTATTATTACCAGTGAAACCAATATAACATCTCAACATTCACAAATATACATTTCTGACATTCAAAAACAAAACAAAAACAAATCAGTGACCAATATAGCCACCTTTCTTTGCAAGGACACTCAGAAG